GTTTCCAGGATCAAGGGATCTCAATATGATTAAAATCTATGATTTGGAAATAAAGATGATTTATCATAATAAAACTGCACCACATGACTCAAAGCATAGAAACATTAAAACAATGACTGTATTACATGGGAAAAGTACATGATATCAACCACAAATAGATCAGCTGAGCATGCCAGGCTCACATGAATACAAAAAAAATGTACAGAACAAACTGTTACTGAGCCCATAAACTACAATTCTACTTAAAACAGGCTCCACAGTCTATTTAATAGTGAGATATGAATTTAATTTTAAGGATCCCAATTTATGTCACTCCTGGATGTTCATAGAACCTTTGCTACCATCAGAGGCAATTATTTTTTCCTCTGAGTTTCATTAGGTTGGATACACAAGTTGTATAAAATCACACTTCCTAAATTATCCTGTTGACTTCAGTGGGTCTACTCATATTACAAATATTAGTGGAATATAAATTAGTAAAGAGACCCAAATCTTGAAGTGCTCTGTTTTTTAATCAGGAAGCTTGTCTGAGTAAGGACTGAGTAAAAATAAAGACCTCTGAACTTAGATATAGCAGCAGAAAATATGTGCAAATACTTTTTCATGAGGGTAACCTACCCACCACAAAATTTCCCTATCACCACCCTTCTTCTGTGTAGCTTCTTCCTGTGACTTGCCTGTCACATTGAAAACTTTTAGGATGCACTTTCTATGGGTTAAGCAGCATAAGTTCTGAGGTTTTTGTCTTGCAGCTTTATCACAGGCCACCAGACAAGAACATTATTATCTCACTCTGTTCCAAACCGGTACCATGGTACAACTTCCAGTTGAATGCAGAAGCAGGGGCTGCTTCAAAATACTGCTTCTTCAGGCAAATAGACAGTAGGGACTGCCTCTTCTTGGAGATGAAAGTTTCACCTTCACTGTGCTACTACCTCTTGCCATCCCAGTGAAGGAAAAATCAAAGATCTCAGGAGAATTTCATCTTTTAGTCAGGTATGCCCCCAACCCTCAAAGCCATTAGGCAAGCTATGGTGCATTTATCTGGCCAAACAGCTTAAAGAAAGACTATAGTTCCAAATGCCAAGGTAATTTACATGTAGCAAAAAAGATATTTCTGACAAATGTGAACAACAGTGAATGCAGTTAAAAGTACCTGCAGACAAGATATTTATTAATAATGGTTCCCTGTACCATAGTTATAAAGTAAATAATTCTAGAACTGGTAATACCTCATCTGTTGGTAGAAAGATAAAAGAAAACTTTAATTGTGCTCTCTGTAGTGAATATTTAGATCATAACTACTAAACACAAATGCTCAGGAACATTATTTAGGTCAAAAACACCAGGTCATTCAAAAGACAATGAAATACCCCTCTGCAAAGGATCTAATGCTAATAACAAGCCTGGTTCTGCCACCCTTCCTCGTAATAGACTCATAGACTTTACTGTCAGAAGGGACCATCGTGATCATCTAGTCTAACTTTCTGCACATTGCAGGCCACAGAACCTCACTGACTTCTGAAATAGACCCCTAACCTCGGGCTGAGTTACTGAAGTCCCCAAATCATGATTTAAAGACTTCAAGTTATAAAGAATTCACCATTTATGCTAGTTTAAACCTGCAACTGCCCTGTGCCCGATGTTGCAGAGGAAGGAGAAACCCCCCCAGGGTCTCTGCCAATCTGACCTGGGAGAAAATTTCTTCCTGACCCCAAATATGGCAAGTAGTTAGATCCTGAGCATGTGGGCAAGACCCACCAGGCAGACATCTGGGAAACAACTCTCTGTAGTAATACAGAGCCCTGTCCATCTAGTGTCCCATCTGCAGCAGTTGGGGATTCTTGCTATTGACAGTTGTAGGCAATCTCATCATACTGTCCCGTCCATAAACATATCAAGATTAGCTTTGAAGTGAGTTAGAGATTTTTCCCCAATTGCTGCCCTTGGAAGGCTGTTCCAGAACTTCACTCCTCCGACGGTTAGAAACATTCACCTAATTTCAAGCCTAAACTTGTTGATGGCCAGTTTAGAGCCATTTGTTCTTGTGTCCACATTGGTGCTTAACTAAAATAACGCCTCTCCCTCCCTTGTATTTACCACTCTGATGTATTTATACAGAGTAATCATATCTCCCCTCAGCCTTCTATTGGTTAGGCTAAACAAGCTAAGCTCTTTGAGTCTCTCTCATAAGATAGGTTTTCCATTCCATGGATCATCCTAGTAGCCCTTCTCTGCACCTGTTCCAGTTTGAATTCATATGTCTTAAACATGGGTGACCAGATGATGTCTCACCAGTGTCTTGTATAATGGTACTAACACTTCCCTGTCTCTATTGGAATATCTCACCTGATGCATCCTAGGACTGCATTAAACTTTTTCATGGCCATATCACATTGATGGCTCATAGTCATCCTATGATCAACCAATACATCCAGGTCTTTATCCTCCTCTTACTTCCAACTGATAAGTCCCCAGCTTATAGCAAAAATTCTTGTTGCTAGTCCCTAAATGCATGACCTTGCACTATTAAATTTCATCCCATTTCTATTACTTCAATTTACAAGGTCATCCAGATCTCCTCCTCTGTATTGACTATTCCTCCCAACTTTGTGTCATCCACAAATTTTATTAGCACACTCTCACTTTTTGTGCCAAGGTCAGTAATAAAAATGTTAAATAAGATTGGTCCCAAGACCAACCCCTGAGGAACTCCGCTAGTAACCTCCCTCCAGCCTGACAGTTCGCCTTTCAGTTTGACGGATTGTAGTTGCCCCTTTAACAAATTCCTTATCCACTTTTCAATTTTCATATTAATCCCCACCTTCTCCAATTTAACTAATAATTTCCCATGTGGAACTGTATCAAATTAATGAGTAACACTTTCCTCAACAAGTGGTCACATTCAAGTCAGGGTAATGTATTGCCCCACATGATTAAGGATAGCTGAACGTGGCCCACAATAAATACTGAATAGCTTGATTCTCCCCACTGTAATATTTCTCCTTTGACTCTCATATCTGTCAAGATCAAAATGTGTCAATATGAAAAACCATATACACGTATACATTTACTTTGACTCCGATAGGAGTAATATCGGACCCTTTGGGAGATTTCAGTGTGATTTTTCAGAACAAAACTTCAAATAAGTTGATCAGTCAAGATGTTGAGTGACTTCAGCTCCCCCATTGGTTTCAGTAGGAGTTGAGGATGTTCAGCTCTTTGCAGCATCTGAGCTCTTAAATATTCATGCATACATGAACTTTAGTGATACACTATTTCAGCTGAATGGAGCAAAAGGTGCACGCCCTGGCAGCCCAGGAAAATTTCCCTACCCTGTCTTTGAAAATCACAGGAGGCTATGTCTTTAGGGAAATAAACTATCCCTTCCTGTTGATCCCTGTACTTCAGTACATTTTCTGCAGCTGAGATCACTGAAGTATTATGTCTCAGGGCAACCTCAAAGGAAGGGTAGGGACATGTGCATTTAAACAATAAGAGCCCTTATGGCTACAAGGTTACTACAGTGTTATTCCTGATATTTTGCATGTTTGCATATGCTGTGTGAGTATATTCATATTCTGTACAAACACTACCAGTTAGTAGGGACCCATCTTGTTCGCCAGTTGCAACAAGTTCAACATTTGCTTTGAGTTTAGGAATGCAGCCTTACTCACTGATTCTTGTTCTCACAGGATTACAACCTTTTGTGTACGTTGCTATTATGACTGCAAGTTGCTTACAAACCGTGGGCTGGATCCTCAGCTAAAGCTGTTCTGCGCGCAGAATTGGTCAGAAGGCACAGAACTGCACACTAGCACAACGGGGCTAACATGGTTGTGGCCTTTAAAGGCTACATCACTTGAAATGTTAAATAAGAACAGGTGGATTTGGTGAAACAAAAGTAGCATAAAGTTAATATTGGTGCTAGGGCAGGTGTGGGAAAATATAATTCCATTTCATGAAAAATGTTGAGGTTTTGACACTTATTCTGCACCAGAACAGAACCAAGACCTTTCCAATTTTTTACACAATAAAAAGCGAGAGACCCATGCTAGTATAGCCAATTGCCTGGTGGTCAGCTGACTCACCTGGGATGTGGGAGAACCAGGTTATTACCCTAACCACTGGGCTGTTAGGTTTTGAGGGGTTCATTCTCTCTCTCCTTCCCCATAGACACGAGGAAACCTTCCCAACATAAGTTTAATTGAAATTGATGTATTTTGCAAAAAGCTTCGGATTTGACCAATCAGCATTTTCAGACCAAAAAAATATTCTGTCAAAAAATGGAGCAGCTTGACTTTGCACTCCCCTGATCTTACTGGTGCTGTTTGCAATGCGGATACCCCAGAGCTTAATTAAAATAGACATGGGACTGAATATAAAATTGGGAATTAGTATGGCATAGGGGCATGTTGGCCATGATGATCTCTCTTTTTTTCCAATCATACTTCCTTTTTTTCCCTACACACTAACAACAGAGAGCCAGCTACTCCACCTGCAATATGACACCAGAACACCCCACCTACCCTGTGGTGATCATTCTAGGACTGAACAGACGAGCCTTAGAGCCAGATTGCACCAGCAGTGCAGTGCAAAGTAGCCATGCCACATGGGGGGGATGCTGAATCTGTATTTATACTCTAGAAAGGGCTAGAATCAAAATACCAGCAATCTGCTATTCCTTCCTGTTGGTCAGAGAACAAAGTAAAAATGGGTGAATGTTTTCACAACTCTTCATTTCTGTTTTACATCAACATTTTCCAGTCAGATGGAACCAACACCTCTTGGCAGCTTATATACTGTACCTGCAGTTAGAACAAACAGCCATAAGGCACTATGGAAAATAGGGATGCTATTCAGTGTGTCAGCCAAGCAGGATTGCAACACTCAGTTGCTCCTAGAAGTTTTCATTTCCCAGGCTGTACTTTCAGGAATGTCGTTAAAGCTATGGTTGATGCATTTAATTGGTGTTTGGAAAGAAAGAAGGTTAATGTTACCTGCTTTGCTCTGGCTTTCAGCTTCAGGAAACACAGAATTTCTTTTCTTTTTCCAGAGCCAAGATCGTGATGCCAGTGGGATATTTTCTTCAGAAGCAAGATACAATGCTAGGCAAAAAAGAAAATGTCAAACTCTGGGGTTTTTATTTAAGTTATAGTAAGATTTTTTTTTTTTGTAAAATAAGACTAGGGTTAGTTAATGTGCAAAGGAGAAGAGTAAAAAGAGAGAGGTCAGAGGTATAGCATGTAATATACAGAAGATCACTTGGGCACTCCTATTTTTACAATATGTCATAATAAAAAAAAGCAAGGGGAACTCAGGGAAATTTAAGAAATACATTTAAAAGGTTCTTTTTATCTTTTTTACACAGCATATAATTACCTATGTAACTCACTGACAGAGAGAGAGGGAAATGGTCTGAGCACAAGATGGGGAAAGAGCAACTCCTCAGTTTCAAATACAGCTTTGCCATTGCCTTCCTCTGCTGTCTTGAACAAGTATCTTTTGTTCTCTGCCTCAAATTCTAATCTGTAACCTGGGGATAATTACTTAATTCCACAGAGAGGTGACAGTGTTAATTTGTTATGATCTTTAAAATGTCTTACAGATGGAAATCACTCTACAGTGATCAAGAACAAGTCACCAGTTATCACACCGTGGCATGCATCATTATTCTTTTGGATACCACTGTAAGGTAACTCTTGGTAATTGCTGACATTTTAATACCCTTTAAAAATGTTGTATATTGCTTACACTTCACAGAAATTTGAGGTAAACAGTTTGGTAAGATTGATAAAAGAATAAGGGTCAAATCCCTGTCAGGTGCATGACCCAATTAGGTGGAGAAAGGAATGTGGCCTAAAGCCAACTGATGCTCCCTGTGTGAATTAGACCAATTTATATGATGATCTAATCTATGTCAGATGGTAACAGCCCTGTTACACAGCCAGGGATTGCTGGAACACAAGGTGCTCCGCCTTCTTACATTGACAAGCACCTGACATTTGAAGGAAGAAGCGTATGGCGGGGAGGGTGAGGAGGTTACTTCATTCAGTACCTTTGTCTTGATTCTGCATGTACATTGTTTAAGCTAGTTATGCACAAAACTAAATTTTTATATGAAAAGACGTACTAGAGATGATAAACTCTAATCAATTTAACTTCCTCTACCAAGTATCTGGATATTTCATCTGCATTGCCAAAGAAGGGAAGGGCAAACACAACTCATTACATTTGTGTCTGTTTCCTGTTGGCATTATGTGACATCTATTGTGAGTCAGTCTATAGTAGGATGAGACTTCATTAAAGTGTTTTCAAGTGCATCACTGCCAAAAGTACAAACAGATATTAGTTTCTCAAACTTAACTAATCTCCTATCTGGTAAATATTTAGCAAATCAGGAATTTGCTGAAAACAGGTCATTTCAGTTTTCTATGGGGAGAACAATTTAGGTGAGGCTGAATTAAGACAGCACAGGGCCCTAGCCACACCCCAACATCTGGGTGTGACGGGTTGGATCACAGAAACCCCCTTGGGAGCTGCCACATAATGTACCAAGACTACTTCTATTCCTGTTTTCTCTGCCAGCTCAGGACTCCAGCACCCTGTCTTGCTGAGTCAGACACTCCCGTCTGCTCCAACACAGACCCAGGGTCTGAATTACGTGCCCCAAAGCTGCAGGTTTACCTGAAAACAGCTCACAGAAGTATGCTTGCCTATAGCACTCAGATGCCTAACTTCCAATGTGGTCTAAACCCAAATAAATCCGTTTTACCCTGTATGAAGCTTATACAGGGTAAACTCATAAATTGTTTGCCCTCTATAACACTGATAGAGATATATGCACAGTTGTTTGCTTCCCCCAGGTATTAATACATACTCTGAGTTAATTACTAAGTAAAAAGTAATTTTATTAAATACAAAAAGTAGAATTTAAGTGGTTCCAAGTAGTAACAGACAAAACAAAGTAAGTCACCAAGCAAAATAAAATAAAATGTGCAAATCTATGTCTAATCAAACTAAATACAGATAAGATCCTCACCAGTTCCAGAATGCTCCCTTTTACAGCCTAATCTCCTTTTAGCCTGAGTCCAGCAATCACTCACATCCCCTGTAGTTACTGTCTTTTGTTCCAGTTTCCTTCAAGTATCCTGGGGAGGCTCCTTCTTTAGCCAGCTGAAGACCAAATGGAGGGGTCTCCCACGGGTTTAAATAGACTTTCTTTTGTGGTTGGAGACCCCCCTTCTCACTCCTATGCAAAGCCCAGCTCCAAGATGGATTTCTGGAGTCTTCTAGGCAAGTCACATGTCCCTGCATGACTCAGTCTTTACAGGCTGAAGCCATTGTCCACACGGTATCTTGTATGTCTCCAGGAAGACTTCTTATGTGGATTGGAGCATTCCAAGATTCATTGTTCCCCAAGTGCTTCCTAATTAGATACTTAACCTTGCAAATTCCTTCCTAAAGAAACTGACCAAATGCCTCACAAAGCTTACTTAAAAACCAGGCAAGTATACAGCCCATATTCTTAACCTCATGTCGAAAATGATATATGTGTACAAAAAAAAAATGAATAGATATAATAGACCATAACCTTTATGGAGATATGTTACATGGTACAGGCAGCACAAAACATATTCCAGTTATGTCATACATACATTTATAAGCACCCCCCCCCCCATAAAGCCTTATGGGGTACACTGTCACACTGGGTCTTTGTAAGTATTCCTCATTACCCTGCCCCACAGAAGTAGCACCATCCCCCACAAGGTATGGTGGTGGCAGGGACCCACAGAAACTGTCTGCAATCATGGCAGGAAATTAATCTTTGGGCAGGCTGAAGCCTCTTTCCAGTTCTGTATATGGGGCCTACAACACCACTCGACCAGAGGATCCTATGGAAGGATGCCTCCCTCTGTTCCAAACGAGAGTTCTACAGGGAGGCCCCTCTTGCCACATGAGCAGAGGAGTTTGTGTGTGTGTATAGGGGGGGGCTCCTGTGTGCCAACTCACCAGAGGGCATATGTATGTGTGGGCTTCCCTCCTACCAACTGAACAAAGGGCTCTGCTGTGGTGGAAGTGGCAGAGCCCCGCCACCCCGAGGGCTTTGTCAGAATAGTAGAAATGCCCCTTTCATAAAGCCCTGTATTGGTTGGAGTGTTGACACAGTCCCTTGGCTGCACGAGGTGAAACACCCAAAGCTCTTTGCTCCAGAGGTAGGACACCCACTACGCACACAGGGTCCTCCTCTCTGATGCTGAGTGGCAGCCCTGCCTCCCACAGAGGTGCTGCAGAAAATGAGGGTGGTGGGTCCCCAGCCTCAGGGTCTGCTCTGGGGGGCCCCAAAGAATGGCAGAAGTGTCCCTTAACACTGACTTGGTAGAACCACCACACTGTGACAGCAGCAGTGGCAGTGGGCTGGAGATGAGGGAGGCCCCAGCCTGCTTGTCTCCTCCTCCTTGACTGCCTGAAAAATGGGGAGTTGCAGTGGCAGCTGAAGAGATGGGAGATGCCTAGCTTCTTGAGTACAAACAGCAACAGCTGCAGTCAGTGGCTTCCTGTCCCATTCCCCAGTCACCCAAACACAGGTGGCACCAGTAACCAGAGCCACGTTGCTCCTCCCAGCCATGTGAGAAGTAAAGGAAGTGGCATTTGGTTTCCCCTACTACCATCAGCCATAGTGGTTCCTCTAGCTAGTTCTCTGCATGAATGGAGTCCCAATGTGTTGTAATGTGCAGCCTAGTATGAGGAGGACTGAGCAGGGAAAGACATTTTTCCTCCTTCTTGGCTCTGGATGGAGCAGCTACTATAGTTCCTGTCTCTTGTGGAGCAGACAGCCTCATGCAGCTAGTCTGCTCCTCTGTGGTCCACGCTGTGCATTAGCAAGCCATCAGATTAGGGTGTTAAGACATAGGGTTATTGTGCCTAGTGTTTACCCAAGCCCTGGCCTCTTTAGGGCACATATATATATGTGTTACCAGGTCCCCATTCTCTCTGGGAATGAATGGCTGTAGATATGCCATCCTTCATCTCTTTCTTTTCTACCTTGAAGTCATTTGATAATTTCCCTAATAATTCTTTCAATTGGAGGTTTGCCTCGGGGTGTATAAAAAAATGGTGTTTAAAAACAAATCTGATTTATTTACATAAAAATAAACCCATTTAAAATTAAATGTGAAATTATGACAACCTATGTTCCTGCCCTACACTTACTGTAATCTATTACAATCATTTAAATTAAAGATAAATATTAAGCAGGACTTATTTGCTGCCAAAGTTTTAAAAAAAGTCAAACTGAACTGGTGGAAGTCACTGGCTAACCATCTGGAGAAATTGCTGAAGAGCTAAACCAGTTTTTGACAGCAATAGCCTCTTTTGCAAGTGCAGAGAAAATATTTTATTCATTTTATATTATTCAACTAGTTTACTTCAATGACTAGATCATTCCAAATTGAGAAACTAGTGGGAGTAGAAGAAGCAGAAAAGCTTGTTTTCCTTTTCCAATTTATGAATAAAAACTAGGTGTGAGAGGAAGAGATTTGTTAGTTCTAAAATCTTAAAGGACATGGTGACCTGAAATCAGTTGAATTCACTTACTGCAAATATTTGCTTTGTTTAATAAATTATTTTTAATACAAAATACATTTTGATAAACTTGTCTTTTATGTATCTAGCACATTAAGATAGTTTTATTTAACTAATAATAAAAATAAAATGCTGTTTTTGAGCATTTTAATTTAAGTGAAATTTCCATCCAAATAGAGCTTGACACAAATCACAAGTAAAAAATTAATCTGCTAGTAAATAAGAAATTATCTTTCACTGTTTTCTAACACAATGAAAATGTAAAAATTCAGAATCTGAATAAATGTATCTTAAGCTATATAATTGCTTAAATAAATGTGTATAGATATAGCGTATTCTCCTGGTTAGCAAAAAGAAGCACCAATGTAAGGATAAAAATGATATTTATGGTTGTGATTCAACATGTTTTAATGGTTCCCGATCAATGAAAATCAGCCTTTCTTCAGGAAAATAATTAAAGTACCAATGCCAAACATGATTAAAATCGGTTATTTAAATCAAAGTTTCCTTTTTTGGTGACTTAAGTCATATTCAAATTGGTGATTTAAATTCATCCAACATGACTTGCTTACATTATCACAAACTGATCTTCACAGCTTTTTTGGGAAGGAATATTAATATATGAGAAGATCTTTGAACATAGATGTCACAATATTTTTTCACATATCCTTTCCCCCTCACCCTCTTTCACTTTGGTCAAACTATATTTCTTCGTTGACAGTTCCTGAGCAACTCAGCCTTGAGCAACTGCCTTGCCCAACAGCATTGCCTAATGGAATTGACTAACAATGTTGCTAACCTCATTCTTCTTAATGGCTCCTAGTCTCTGAGATTTTTCTGAGACAAATATGAGCCATTAGAGCTGATTGACTTCTTAGCCCTGTGATATTAAAACTCATTCAAGTTACAGGATCTCCCTAAATTCTCTTATAATGAGAAAGATACACAAACATAGCTAAAATATCAGTCAAAAGCCTAGTATCCACAAATAATCCTACAGGCCATTACCTTCTCCTACTTACTTCACAGCTACACATTATTCCTCCCTGCCTTTTGGCAGGGAGATTCACATAGTACTTGGCTCCAGGGAATCAAATTAAAGTTATACATATTTCTGCTGTAAACAGCAGAACCCCATAGCAGTGATGGGAAATATACAGCTCCAAACAACTTTCCTTGGAAATTATATGTAGTAGTGTAATGTTATTTGGGGAATGAAAAAACTGACTCCATTAAGATTATAACAATGCTTCACATTTATATAGTACTTTACATATTCAAAGCACTCTACAGGCATTGAGAGCTTAATCCTCACAACCACCCTGTGACAGAGGTGAGCAAATATTATTAATCCCAAACTTCTTATGCCTGCCTTATTTAGGTTCAGCTGCCTAAGAGTTCAAGCATGAAATAATGCATTAATACCCCGAGTGCCTCTTATCTGCAATCTTTGACATATTTAGCAATATAGATACTTTTAAGCAAATTGCTTGCTAAC